GTTTGAAAGGTTGGTGAATCCTTGCGGATTACGTGAGGAATGAAAGGCAGACTTTTTGTTTTAAGAAAACACTTAAATATCTGAATCTGATTGTCACAAATTCAAGGCCTATAAAATCAATTAATGTTCTTTGTATTGTGCATTCACATAAATCAAAGTATCTTCCACCAGGGATTATAAGCAGTCTGTAGCTAAAAAGTCAGTACAGTTCTACAAGTAAATTATAGCATGGCTGTTGAAAACTTTGAACCTATTTAGGTACAAGGAAAAAAAAAAAAAAGACTAGAGGGGTGTGGTACATGGGTGTGGTAGTGCACACCTGAAATCCCAGCAATCAAGAAAATGTGGCATGAAAATCATCACAAATTCAAGGCTAGCTGGGGCTATACAGAAAACACACACACACACACACACAAAAAATAACATTAACTGATTAATTGAATTAGGTAAACAAAGCCAAAAAAAAAAAAAAAAAAAAAAAAAAAAAAAAAAAAACCTACATTAACAGATCACTTAAATTAGAAAATTCAGAATTCTGTGATTTTTCATCAATAGAAAAGTGACGTTTAGGTGTCAAAGGGAAGCAAAACAATAATATAACTCTCTGCTAGGTTGCAGGGGGAAAAAAAAAAAAAAAAAAAAAAAAAAAAAACTATCTCTCTGAAACCTGCAGACCACAAACTTGACTTACCTTGTTAGTCTGGTTCTGAGCTCTTAGGAATGAAGGATTCAATTAGAGGAAGACTTATACTATATGTGCCTGTGTTCCTATATTGGGGGGAGGGTGTGTCTCCATTGTTAGGAGGAAGAAAAGAAAGACACAAAGACCTGGGCCTATTAGGAGCATCTTTTCCCCATGATTGTGCTAGATACTATATGACTTTCACTGAGGCCTCATATAATCTGAGAGGGAGGATAAGTGAAATCATTTCTTCTTAACAGTAGAGTGGATTTTGAATGAAGAAAGAAACAAGCTTTTCAGGATAATGAAGTATGGTGGAATTGTAACATATTATTTGTAAAAAATACTTACTCATGATTGTCATCAATACCTACATGAGTAACCTCAAGCTACTGGCAGAATTTTGATCATTGGTATTAGGAGGAAACATAAAAGTTTAATGGGTGGGGCGGTGCCTGCCTGTAACCCCAGCACTTGGGAGGCTGAGGCAAGAGGATCATTGCAAATGCAAGACCAGCCTGGGCTATAAAGTGAGTTCAAGGCCAGCCTGAACTGTGTAACAAGACCCTGATTTGGGGGTTTGTCTCCACAATCACCTTGTAAAAAGGATATAAAAGAAATGCTTAACCTACTTAAGATGATAAAATTATAAGTACATACTTATATAGAAAAAAATTAAAAAGGCAATTATAGTTTTTAAGCACGTTCATTAAATAAAGTCGAATTCTTGGCAACGTTTTTTAAGCTAAATTAACATACTATGGGAATTTCAACTGAAACTCTTTTTTTTTTTTTTTAAGACTGCATTTTAGGAATAACTTAGAATACTCAGCAATTTAGTCTAATTCAAGTAGTCTGCATTCTTAAACAAATTAAAAATTATAAACTTTGGGCTGAAGATATAGTTCTATGGTAGAGTATTGACTAAGCTTGCATGAAACTTACTATATACATTAAAATGTAATATTTAGTATTTACACCCAGATGGCATTTTATGTACAATTATTTAACCCAACAGGAGACCCAGAGAGTATACTCTATAACTGATGAGTATAACAATGGGTACATGACTGATTAAATATCAAGCCCATTCATGTGACTTCTCACCACTTACAGTGCAATAAATCGGTCCACTTTGACTTTAATAGTGCAGTCACTTTTCCTTTTCACTCCCACATTGAGTCCTCCTGGTTTTCTCTCCTCTATAATCTCTTACTTCCTAATAAATTTAATAGTCCATATAACTGATCATGTATCTCATCCTTAAATTCAGCCCCCTATAACCACCCTGATATTAATGTCTGTGCTTACTTTCCTGAGAAATATGAAGAGAAATGCAAATAGAAAAATTCCTGAAAATTTATACAGCCTGTTTGTCTGCAATCCGCTACATACACATTCTTCCAAGAGTGCTGGGAAAGAAAATGAACATACTTCTGCATTATTTGTGAGGCAAGTTTGGCTGTTAGCCCTGTGAAACAGCCATCATCACCCAAGTAAGATCATCTTAACTACTACTTTAAAATAACATACTGCCTTTCTAAAAGAGGCTTTAGAAGATTCTGGCACTCTCCAGGGACAAATGCTGCAGGAAAAACAAAAACTGGCTAACATCTGAGTACCCTAAGAAGTGTGAAAGGTTTATTCTTCTGTTTATCTTTCTAAGGTAATAGGCTCGCAGGAAATCCAGATGCAACCTGGAATGTACAAGTAATTTAGCAAAACTGCTTGAATTTTATGGTAACCATGTCTATAACATTATTAATGTATCACTCTACATTTCTACAGCTGTAAGTCTTAATCATAATAACACCATGCCTGTACTTTACTTTCATAAATGGAATTAGCATTTCTGTATGAGGTACAAATGCAGAACTGTGAATACTTTTCCTTAAGATCTATGCTATGAGATTCTCTGTAATTTCTACATAGTTTAGCAATCCTGAAGTACCTCAGTTTATGTTCATCAGCACAGCTCTATGCCTTGGGACTTTCCCTTGGAATCTGACTCCTTCAAATACAACTTAATTCACACATTTTTCACATTTAAAATCGGTCAGATTCCACCAGGTAAATAAACTCCAAATTTTTCCTGTAGGTCCTCTTGTGATGTAACATGCTCAACACAAACTCTCTGTGATTAAAATTACTCCTAGGTTTTATTTTCAGTGCATGACTTTGTGGGTCATTGTTATCATATCAGTCTTCTGCTTCTAAGCATCTTCTGCTACATGTTCTGTTTGTGTGGGCATCACTGCTTGGATTAGTACCTGTTTTCACAGGGTCTCTG